GATCTTTGTTAATTCCTTCCTTTTACTAACTTTGGGCTTCATTTGTTCTTTTTCTAGTTCTTTGAGGTGTAAAGTTAGGTTGCTTGGGATTTTTCTTGTTTCTTGAGGTAAGCTTTTATTGCTATGAACTTCCCTCTTAGAACTGCTTTTGCTGCACCCTGTAAGTTTTAGCATGTTGTATTTCTATTTTCATTTGTCTCAAGGTATTTTTCCATCTCTCTTTCATGTTCTTCATTGAATCTGTTGGTTGTTTAACAGTATATTGTTTAATCTACACCTATTTGTGAATTTCCAGTTTTCTTCTTGTAATTGATTTCTAGCTTCTTATCATTGTGGTTGGAAAAGATTCTTGATAAGATTTCAATTTTCTTAAATTTGTTAAGACTTGTTTTGTGGCCTAACATATGATCCTGGAGAATGTTCCATGTGCAATTGAGAAGAATGTATATTCTGTTGCTTTCGGATGAATATGCTGTATATATCTGTTTATATATATATATATATATATATATATATATATATATATATATATATATATTCTGTATATATCTGGGCCAATGTGTCATTTAATTAAGGCCAATGTTTCCTTATTGATTTTCTGTCTGGATGATCTACCCATTGATGTTTCTCCCTTTAGGTCTGTTAGTATTTGCTTGATATATTTAGGTGCTCCTATATTGGGTACATAAATATTTACAAATATTGTATCCTCTTGTTGGATTGACCCCTCTATTGTTACATCATGCCCTTCTTTGTCTCTCATTACAGTCTTTATTTTAAAGTCTATTTTGCCTGATATAAGTAAAGCTATCCCAGTTTTCCTTTGGTTTCCATTTGCACGGAATACTTTTTTCCATCCCTTCACTTTCAGTTTGCGTGTCCTTACATCTGAAGTGAATCTCTTGTAGGCAGCATGGAGTTGGGTCTTGGTTTTTTATCCACTCAGCCACTTTGTCTTTTGATTGGAGAATTTAGTCCATTTACATTTAAAGTAATTAGTGGTAAGAATGTACTTATTGCCATTTTGTTCACTGTTGTCCAGCTGTTTTGTAGTTCCTCTGTTCCTTTCTACTTCTCTTGCTCTCTTCCTTTGTGGTTTGATGACTTTCTTTAGTGGCATGCTTAGATTACTTTCTCATTATCTTTTGTGTATCTACTACAGGTTTTTGCTTTAGGTTACCATGAGGCTTACATACAACAACTTATATTTATAACAGTCTAAGTTGATAACTTAAGTTTGAGTACATTTTAAAGCTCTACATTTTTGTTGTCCCCTTACCACATTTTGTTTTTGATGTCACATTTTACATCTTTTTATCTTGTGTATTCCTTAAATATTTATTGTACTTAGTTATTTTTACTACTTTTGTCTTTTGACATTCATGCTACTTTTTAAATGATTAATTCACTAGCTTTCCTATATATTTACCTTCACCTTTACCTAAGATTTATACTTTCATGTATTTTCTTATTACTAATTAGTGCCCTTTCTTTCCGGCTTAAAGAAATCCCTTTAACATTTCTTGTAAGGCCAGTTTAGTGGTGATGAATATCTTTAGCTTTCGCTTGTTTGGAACACTCTCTCCCTCCTTCAAACGTCAATGATAACTTTGCAAGAGAGACCATTCTTGGTTGGAAGGCTGTTCTTTTCAGCACTTTGAACACATCATGCCACTCCCTTCTGGCCTGCAAAATTTCTGCTGAAAAGTCTGATAGTCTTATGGGGGTTCCCTTGTATGTAATAAGCTATTTTTCTCTTGCTGCTTTTAAGATTCTTTCCTTGTCCTTAACTTTTGATATTTTAATTATATTGTGTCTTGGCATGTGTCTCTTTGGGTTCTTATCATTTGGAACCCTCTGGTCTTCCTGGATCTGGACATCTGTTTCCTTCCCCAGGTTAGGGAAGTTTCCAGCTATTGTTTCTTCAAATAAGTTTTCTGCCCCATTCTCTCTTTCTTCTCCTTCTGGGACTCCTATAATGTGAATGTTATTCTGTTGATGTTGTTCCTTAAAGTTAGCTTCATATTTTTTCATTCTTTTTTCTTTTCGCTCTGATTGAGTGAATTCTCTGCCCTGTCTTCCAGTTTACTGATCCTTTTATCTTCATCTAGATTGCTGTTGAGGCACTCTAGTGTATGCTATTTCAATTATTGTATTCTTCAGCTCTGTGACTTCTGTTTGGTACCTTCTTATATTTTATATCTCTTTGTTGAAGCTCTCACTGTATTCATCCATTCTTCTCCCAAGTTCAGTGAGCATCTTTGTGACCATTACTCTGAACTCTTTATCAGGTAAATTGTTTATGTCCACGTCATTAAGGTTTTTTCCTGAAGTTTTACCTTGGTCTTTTGTTAGGAACATACTCCTTTGTTTCTTCATTTTGCTTGGCTCACTTTGTTGGTTTGTATGCATTAGATGAAACAGCCACCTCTCCCAGTCTTGAATGGTTGACCTTGTATAGGAGATCAACCCTATTGTTCAACCCCACTCTAGTGCATGGTTCTCTCTCAAACCTTTGTGATTTTCGAAGCAGCCTATTTTTAATAACTCCTAGTAGTTGGGGTGTGCCACAAACAGTCAGGATCCCAAAGGGGAGGATCTCAGTCAGCCCCTAGATTCAGGCTGTTGGAAGCCAGACCCTCAGGCAGCAGCTTTTAAAGTGTGCATATATATATACACAGTCCTCTGGGACTACAAGCATAAGCCCCACTGCCCACAAAAGCCAGGTGATTTGGAGGTGTCCCCTGGGTGGTAGTCACAAAAATGGAGGTTCCTCTCATGCATTATTTATCTAACTAACCTACCCCATCACTGATTTTTAGCCCTACAAAGTTAGACTTTAGAAAAGTCCCCAGCCATGCCTCTAAGTAAAAATGCAAACTGCAGAACAGCATATAGGATGTGAAACTATTAACAAATGTGCACACACACACACACACACACACTTTATTTCTCCATGGGCACACATGTAAATATATAGAAACAGACTTGGAAAGAGGCATCCCAAATTGATAAAATTTCTTACCTCTGAGGAGGACCTGGGATTGCAAGGGGAATGTTCAAGGGGCATTTTCACCTTACCTGACTGTCTGAAATTTTTATAGTGAAAAATATATTCAGTACTTATTTTTGAATTTCTAAAATTCACTTAAAGGAAAAAAGGCCATTGAAGTTAAACTGGCAAATGGCAGTTAGCACTTTTAATATTTATTTAATAAAAAGAGTAAAATTTAATTTACTAAAATGGGCAAAGGATAGAAAATGTAAAGATGATGGGAAATCTATAAATGGGAAATGCCCTGTAGCATGTTCCTTAGAAATCAAGCAGTGCTCCTCCATCCCCTGACACATCCTCTGTCCACGGGCTTCATCTTACCAGAGCAGCTACCTTCCAGGATTTTCTAACAAAGTGTTAGAAAATCACTCCTTACAAATGTGCAGTTTTGGGGGGGAAAATGACATAAAATTGCATGTTTTCATGTAAATGTAAAGTGTTTCTTTACCTTCTACTTGGAAGTTTTAGGCAGTTCGATTCTTTACTGTTTCTCCAGTGCCCAAAGCAGCAGTTCTCAAGGGGCAGGAAAAGGACCCAAACCAAAGCCACACCAGCAATGACACATCCCTGCAGGGAGTCAGAAGGAAAGGAGCCCTGGCTGCTGGTGGAATGTTTTGTGTTCCTTGGCTGTGCAGGCCAGCAAACAGGCTAAAGCCAGTCACATCCAGGTCCAGCTTTAGTAATTAAGACATGTCATTGACATGTCTTTGGTCATATCATCTCTCTATAAAGGAGAAAAATTTATTGATACAAAATGGCCACACATACACACACCAAAAGCTATCTTCAGAGTAAAGCTACCCCACTAAAACAATTATTTTTGTGGTTCACTGGCTGTCTGCTTTGCTATATAATAATACAGACTTGATGGCATGGAACCAGAATGTTTGTTAGGTTCACATCCTAGCTGCTCCACTTTCTAGTAGTGTGACCTTGGGCAAGTTACTAAACCTCTCTTGCCTTTAGGCTCCCTGTCTGCATAATGGGGCCTCCCTTGTAGTGTTGTTGTGGGTAGTAAATTAGCTAGTACACTATAGCCCTCTGAGGAGTGTCCTGCGTACAGGAAAGCACCTAAATAATCTTAGCTATTATTATTTGAATTGAGTAAACTTCCAACTTTAAGAAGTCAAATGATTATCCAAGACACTCTAATTTGATGACTATGCTGAAATTTGGATGTGACACATGCTCCTTAAGATGGGCCCTCCAGTCTTATCAAGAAGCTCCTTTCTGTGCCCAAATCTTGTATTATTAAGTAAGTGTTGGCTGTGTGATACTGACTTGGCAAATGCCATATGTTCTAAGGGCAAATCTTCTCAGGGAAAAAGGCTGCCCTGGGCTCACCATCAGCCAGGCCACCCCTTCACTAAACCCAGTGGACACCTCAAACCTGGGAAAAAATATCAATCACAGCTCCTTCAGTAGGGATATGATTTATTCCCATTGGGATTTGGCCTTTATTCAGAGAATTCCAGGATTTAATAAAAACACATAGTTGAGAGCCATCTCTCTGTGGTCGCTTATAAAGTAATAACAGAGATAAGATCTAGACGCACAGCTTGTAATCCTCTCTGGCATGAGATCGTTTGAAGCAAAAAAAAAAAAGCTAAATAAAAAGTTGTGTGTCTAGTATACAGTGTAAATTCAAACTTTGAAAAAAATAAACTTTGATTTTGACAGCTCTATTCACTGGTATTAGCATCTCAAATAGCTTTTGGAACCATTTTGTCAAAAGTAGTGAAATGACTGCCTTCTTCAAATATCTTGTGTATTGGGGGGGGGGGGGGGGGGCTCGAGGACACAACCTGAAGCACCTCCTTGGCCCCACCAAGTCTCTGGGCTGTGGGAAGAGTAAGGAAGAGCTGTCTATTGGGATTTGGGCTCAGAGGGACACTGTCCTTTGGCCAGCACAGGTTAACCCAGCTCCTTTGGGTCTGTGTTGCAGGGATCATGTACCGCAAGTCATGTGCATCATCAGCGGCCTGCCTCATCGCCTCTGCTGGGTACCAATCCTTCTGCTCCCCAGGAAAACTGAACTCAGTGTGCATCAGCTGCTGCAACACCCCTCTTTGCAACGGGCCCCGGCCCAAGAAAAGGAGCAGTTCTGCCTCGGCCCTTTGGCCGGGGCTTCCCACCACCATCCTGTTCCTCAAATTAGCCCTCTTCTTGGCACACTGCTGAAGCTGAAGGAGGTGCCAGCCCCTCCTGCATTGTTCTCCTGGCCCTCACGCCCCACTCTCCCTGAGATTCTTCTGGGTGTCCCTTTTTTCTGGGTAGGGAGGGGAGTCTCTGTTTTCTTTTAGTTCCTTTACAGATAATGAAAGAGCTCAGTGTAAAACGTTTTTGTAAGCTCTGAATACATTCAGTCTGACTGAATTTTCAGTGTGTACTTAATGGAAGGAAGGGGATGGAATGCAAGTTCGCGCCCCCCACCCCCCCACGACCCCGGCCTGTGACCAGAGTTAAGGCAACTTAGAAGATACTTAGGTGTCCATCTGCCTTTTCCAAGGCCCTTAGCTTCCACGCCTGTTCCTTATGGGGACACAGTTGGTCACTGCCGTGTGAGGGTAATGTTGCTTCTGTAGGGGGAGGGTCGGGTGGCGCTCAAGGCTTCCTTACTTGACACTCACACTTCATGCTCCTGAAAACCATTTTCTGCAGCAGAATTAGCTGGTTTCGTCTCAGAGTTGGGCTCTGATGACTCAGGACTCAATTGCTGCGGTTTAGACTCGGGCTTGGCCTCGCTCTGGAAAGTGCTTAAGGAAACCTTGTTAGTTCTCCTCGCAGAGGAATTGCGCCAGGAAGCCCTGAAGAGTAACGGGCGGTGCGCAGAGCGGGCGCTGTCCATGGTGGAAGCGACATGGGCGCGCAGGCGCTTCTCTTGGTTGGCGTGCAGCAGCGTCAGACGGCAGCGCAGAACCTGCCCGAACACCTTGCGGAACTGCTGCGAGGACACGTTGTACAGAAGCGGGTTGATGACCGAGCTCAGGTAGAAGAAGATGTCCGAGAACGGGAGGAGGGTCATGTACGCCCGGAAGTAGGTCCTCGTCCAGTCGTGCTTGGGTTTGGCCGCAGCCATGATCCTCCGAATCTGGTTAGGCATCCAGCAGACGGCCAAGGTCACAACAATCAGCCCTGAGAAGGCAAGAAGACAAGAGAAAGAAAGAAAAAAAAAACCACAACAGCATGAGAACAACAACAACAAAAACATAAAATATTTAGCCCCTCAGTTCTGTGTTTACTGGCCAGGAAATGGTACCAATTTTTCAATGTTGTGCTTGACAGCTTCTTTTGCCACTAGCAAAAAAGAATTTCACACTGTTTCAATGCTGGGGGAGTTGACTGTGTTAAAGACCATTAAATGCTTTAGACAGTTTATTTATACCTGTTGATGCCTGTTAATTTTTAAAATGTTTTCATTGTTGTTTATGTATCCAGGAAGTGTTTTATGTAGTCCATAAATGTGGTTTCGCTTTTTGTTTTAAAGAAATAGATGTATACAGTATAGCCATATCAGATGAAACAACATTTGTATTTTAAAGAATGTCCGCATAAAGAAGACCCAATGATATTTTTAAGACAAATGGAAGTGGTGTCCCTTTGGTAATGAAGAAGCATATCTAATGACACTGATTTTGCATTCAGTTTCAGGGAAAGCAAAATCAAGATTAGGTCGTCACCAAGAATGTTTGTTGGACATATCTTTACTAGGTGTGCATACTTATAATTACAATGCTTATATCTTCAAAAGCACTTCTTCTTTTCAAACGTTTTCAGACATATCTATCTTCCACCTTTATGGGGGGAAAGACAATTATCCAAAAACAATGGAAAATATAAAACTTCTTTCTGGTTCAGCCAGTAATGTGCTCATTGCCTTTTCAGCACTGAGCTACAGCATCAATAGCCCAAAAATGATCAGGTCCTAAAGAGACACCATTCAGTGGCCCCCTACCTGGATCAAACGTTGACTGCATGGACATATGTTTGCATGCCCACATATTTGCATTGCAACTTACACAATCCTTGCTATTTCTATGACTTCTGACAGAGAAAAGATGCTATATTGACCACAGACAACTGATATCATGAGTGTCATGAGCATTTCTCCACAGTGACTGAAGTAAAAAGAACCAAATCACTAAGAAAAGGGACCCAAGACACCAGATCTCATGTGGAAGAGCTGGTATCTTAAAGCTGTGTTTTGGATTTTCAGAAATGCTGCCTCCCTCTCTTAAATTATAATAAGGAAAATTCATTCACATTTTCAAACCTTCTGATTTTCTAGGAAACCACAGGGAAGCAATTATTGGCAATGATCCCTTCCTGCCTCTGATCAATGGCAAATATTTCAGTATTAAATGCTCCAGGAAAAATAGCCATGTTCACACAACCAGGGTTGGCCTTCCTGCACACACCTGAATGTCCCTTTCCTGGTGGCAGAGCAGCCCTAGATGCATTCTCTGGCATTGAAATAACCCAGTTCTCCTAATAACAAATCCTCCACAAATCCCAGCTGTCAGCAAAGAGGGCTCTGGGAACTCTGCTCCCTTGTTAATTTCCAAGGATTTCGCCTGCCAAACCTCAGTCCAACCTTGAAATAAAACCAATTTGCCTATTTCTTTCTTTGAGTTTGCAACCCTGAGAACACTCAATGAATCTAAAAATAAAATCGGCAAAGTAACATATTGATCTGATGAAAAGGTTAAAAGAAATCACCTTAAGTCAAGAGTATATTCTGAACTACCTAGTTAAAGCTTCTGGATGGGAACAAAAATCCTTATTTTTCTGATTTTTAAAAAAATACCTTTTAGGGCCAGCCCGGTGGCGCAGCAGTTAAGTGTGCATGTTCAGCTTTGGTGGCCTGGGGTTCGCCGGTTCAGATCCCAGGTGTGGACATGGCACCGCCTTGGCAAGCCATGCTGTGGTAGGCATCCCACATATAAAGTAGAGGAAGATGGGCACAGATGTTAGCTCAGGGCCAGTCTTCCTCAGAAAAAAGAGGAGGATTGGCAGCAGATGTTAGCTCAGGGCTAATCTTCCTCAAAAAACCACCAAACAAACAAATAAATACTTGACTAGGAAATCGAGACTTTCTTTTCCACTGCTTTGAGAAGCATGGATGCTTCCAACCACCTATGCTATTCCAAGTGTGTTCTTAAGTTACCTTTCCTCGTTTTTATCTCATGTAGCTCTGACTGAAAGGTTCAGCTCATTAATTGTGAAGGAGCTAGGAAGCTCACCAAACCTAGGGAAGTGACATGTCTTCACAAAGTTTTCAATTTTTTCTCTTCCCTGCTACTGAATTTCAGAGAATAAGTACAACCATCTTCATCTGAGGACTTGTTTCCTAGAATATGGGAATGGAGCACAGGGTTTTAGATGTGTGCTATGCTACACTGTGGGAGGTTATACTTCAGGCGGCAAGAATCTAGAAAGGCTGTGAGAACTCCCTTGTACTTACCACAGGTGGAACATAGCACAGCTTTTAAAGCCAGCGGAAGAAAGGCAATGAGAAAAGAAAGCGGGGCTGTGGAGCAAGAGGAAAGAACTTCTGTCCTGTCTCTTCTCCTGTTCTCTTGATCTCTTGTTGGCACAACCTTTATTCTTCTGTTACCTTCACCTCCTTGCCTGGCATCAGTTGTCCTTAATTGACCATCCCATCAAAAGCAACAAAGTTCAGTAAAAAGCAAGACCCGGCAACCCAGGCATGAGGCAAGGGACAGATTTTGTGGCCTGGTTTGCAGTTTTAGCTGGGAGAGAAGTCTTGCTCTGAATTGGAAATCAACTGAAGCAAACAAGTGGGGGACACCTTAGTCCAAATAAGTGTCAGAAAATGGGGAACCAGACCTGAGATACTTCAATGGTGAGAGAAAGACTTTCTCGGTGTAGAAATAGGTAGATTTGATAGCAAATAGGAACTTGGAGAACAAAATGGACAGGGATTAAAGACCAGACATTGGACAGGTCTTGAGAGATAATCAAGAACAATCCTGAATACTTATTGAGTTTTTCCTGTGTCAGGTTCTGTGCTAAGCCCTCTGCTAATTTCCTATGCATGTCTCACTCCTAACAACAGCCTGGTGAGATCAAAACTGCCATCATCTTCATCTTATAGATGAGGAAGTGGAGTCCCAGAGAAGGTTAGTTGCCGATGTGCTATAATTAGGACACATGCCTGCCAGGCTCCAAAATCTATGGTATTTTTTTCTCAAAGACACCATATTGTCTGTTTCTTCTATGTTTAGTTTGAAAAATACAGAAAATACAATCAAGAAAGTAAACATGAGCCATAATTCTTCCATATAGAATGGATATAAAGCAGCACTGCCCACTAGAAATATAATGTAAGCTACATGTCACTTAAAATTTCGATGATCCACACGCAAAACATAAAGAGACAGGGGAAATCAGTTTCAATAATATCTTTAATCCAATATACCCCAAATATCATTTCATCTGCAGTTTCAACATGCAATCAACCTAAAATTATTCATGAGATGTTTTACATTCGTTTCTCATACCAAGTCTTTGAAATCTAAGGGTGGCTTTTACTCTTCGAGCACATTTCAATTGGGCCCAGCCACATGTGGCTACAGTAGTGGACAGCACAGGTTGAAGTAATCCTTCACAGCCCCTCCCCAGAGTGACAAGCCTCCCTATTTCCTCCTCTCCTCATTCCCCCAACTGTCCCCTTCCCAACCACACACCCAGAGAGTCCTGTCAAATCAGGGAAACCCCCAAGGAACCTCCCCGCTAGCCTGTATTATCATCCTAAGATTCTGATAAGGCAACCCAGGTTGATTCCTGATCATATTTCTTTCTTTTGGAGGAAGATTAGCCCTGAGCTAACATCTGCCGCCAATCCTCCTCTTTTTGCTGAGGAAGCCTGGCCCTGAGCTAACATCCATGCCCATCTTCCTCTACTTTATATGTGGGACGCCTGCCACAGCATGGCTTGCCAAGCAGTGCCATGTCCGCACCCAGAATCCAAACCGGCGAACCCTGGGCTGCCAAGAAGCAGAACATGTGAACTTAACCGCTGCGCCACTGGGCTGGCCCCTCTGATCATATTTCTGAGTATGCATTCTTGGCTCTAGGGTAGAACAGGTTTAGCCAGTCTTTCCACATAAAGCCTTCCACATAAGGAGACTATATATTATCTAAAGCCAAAATATTCAGAAAGCACAAAATTATATTTGGCATTTCTCAT